AGAGAGAGAGAGAGAGAGAGAGAGAGAGAGAGAGAGAGAGAGAGAGAGAGAGAGAGCTTTATTTCTCATATGCCAAAGTGATTCTTCGTTTAATCTTTAGGCTAACGTCATTTTTGGTGTTTATAGTGTTTCTTTATTATTATAGTTGTCTAAAGTGACATGGGCCCCCAAAGGCTCAGGAAATTTGTTTGTTGACAGAAAGTATTTGCAAAGTATATGCAAACTAGATCAATTTTGCTATCATTTCGAATCTCAACAATATGTTATAAAAATTATATGAGCCATAATTTTATTGGAGTTGGGAATCTATATCAAAATCCATTTAATGTGATTATTTTATCTATACATAAATTTTACATTTTTAGCATTCTTATAAATAAATATTTCAACATATATATAAGATACATTTTTAATTTTATTTTGTTCGTTTTTTTCAGTATAACGACGTTTACTTGCAACGTAAATTACAATTCCACTAATAAATCAAAATTAATTCTACACAAATTAAAATAATTAAAATAAATTGTAAAATAGTTAATAATGCATTTAAATTTAATCAAAAAATGTTCTGCTGAACAATTATTTTATTTGTTTTAATTAAATGAGAAGAATAAAAATTCATAATAAAATATTGCAGCCGGTATTTATTGCAAAGTAAATTATAAATATTCAATCGTAAATATAAAAATATATATATATCAATATCTATGAGCATTTGAGATCGGTAAATTATTATAAAAAATAATATAAAATATAATGTAAATGTGAAGCAGAACGATGAGAAACTTGCTGCAGCGGTGATGTCAGCGCAATCCTACTGCAAGTATCAGCAATGCCAACGCGACTACAACCGAACTAAGTGTCATGAAAGTAAACAAATCGCTTGCAATAAGCGGGAATCTAACAGCGGTCGTTGCTTCATATCGATCCCTGTTATTTTAGGCGGCGCAAGCCTATTGTCACCGACAATAACTGCAGGCCACCTCAGCTCAATATCACTCACACGTAGTTGTAATTACAAACCCGGCTATAACAGTATCAACGTATTTATTGCCAACAGAAACAACAAAAACAAGAAATACAACAACTACATTTGTAACAAATTGAACAAATTAAATTGGCAGAATAAACAATACTCGAACTATTTCAACTATGAATTGGTTGATCTTGACAATTGTGCTATTGATGGCTCACAAGCATATGTACATGGCAAGTCCGACACCATTAAAACTACCAGGTAAGTCACAAAGTAGTAGTAGTATATTTCTGTTAAATGTATTATTTCTGTACTCAAATTGTAATTTTAACTATGCTATGCTGGTTGTTCTATAATTCCGAAATGTAATCGCAATTGTTCCATTATTAAAAACATTAGTATAGTATGTGGACCTACGCGCACGAAGGCTGGCAAGAATCCTTTGAAAAACCCATACGGACCCAATTTGCCTATGCCAGCGGCTATGTGCGAAAGGCTTTCGTAATCTCCGGGTTTAGCGTTCATAGCTCGTGTTTTCACTAAGTCAATGGGTTGTGTTAATGTTGTAGCTGCTGTTGCAGCTGTCACCGAAGAAAGAAAGTGCAATGGTACACCCTCTCGTAGATTAGTTGATGACAATAAAAATATTTTCGCCTATTTAGTAGAATGATTAGCTTATAGTGAAATGCAGAACTCAACTATATGTAATTAAAATACCTGATCATACACTGCCAACTGACCTATGGTCATGACCATCGCTCTGACAATAGCTAAGCTGCTACCAGTAAATAGCCTAGATAGTCCTTCTTCTTTATAGATACGTAACATGCCATCAAAAACATGATTGTAGCTAAAAAATATCATTTCAGTAGGAGAACGTATTAGTGTTTGAACAAAACTTACTTTCGTCTTTTGTCTACTGGTAGCTTCATGTCGTGTTGCATGCGTATATTTACCATGTCGGTGGGTACGCCAATGAAGCCACCCATTGCTCCGGCTATAGCCGCTAACCCGATTTTGCTGGAAAAGTTTTGCAGATTAATGTGGGGCTTTCCAACTTCATATATTCCAATTCGAATGGTGGTATATGTTAACTGCCGCGTTAATGATGCCGATATGCCATTATAAAAGGCCAACATTCCTGTGGATTAAAAAAAAATCAATGAATACAATATCTCGTATATTTCAACAGATTTACCATGTGAATTGTAAACCCCAAAAACTGCACGCTTGAAAGACATTTTTTTCTCATGTGTCTGCAAATGGACCTTAAGCAAATCCAAAGGATGTGTAAAAAAAGTAGCTGCAGCGCTAGATATACCACCAAAAAACCAGCGATTTCGTCTTGCCTCATTTTGAGTTACTGTTTTTGGCATAATCGTAATCATTTATTAGAATATTACATTTTAATGTTAAACTTAAAATTTTTAGATGATTAAAACAGATAGACAAACTGCTGAAATTTATATTTTTATATATATATATTGTATTTGAAACTGTCAATTTCAAATTGTACACTGACATTTAAGTCAATGTTTTTTTGGTACAATATTTGATTGCTAGAGAGTTCAGATTTATAACTATTAAAAATATTATATAATAAATAAAAAAAATCTCATATTCGTTAGATCAAGTATTTGTTAAATCAAGTATTTATTAAACCTACTGTGTAGCTTAGAATACACATACAGCAAAATAATTGAACGACCTTCCATCTATCTCGCATTGAAAAGTACAGACTGGCTAGCCTGGGTACCTAAAACTTGTGAGTTATGCGGCTCAGGAAACCCAAAATATAAAAAACTCTTTATCGCTATAGTTGATTAGTCAGAGCTGTGCCGCTATGGGTGTAATCTCAGGGTACATAAATCTAAGGTATGGAAATCGGTAATTTATAGACACAGTACAAATATAGATGAAATCAAAAAATGCGTGTTGGCCTGGTCAGGGCTGATTCGTTATTAATCACATTCTATATGATTTCAATTCTGAATTTTGAAAGTAGAATTTCACAATATGTATTGGAATAGCTTGAAGTCGCGATTTGTCATAGTTAGCCTTGCACGTATCATTTACATGGATGGCTCAAAGATAATAAAAAGGTACGTGGCCAGATATCTGCTTGAAAGACATGCTAGTTATAATACGTTAAGATATACGCGGTTGAAAAAGTGTATCTTCGGATATTACTATTTTTGTACACAGCTAGAGAGTTGTGGAACACAAAATAAAAAGAACTATTTACTACTACTATTTTTGTACACAGCTAGTGAGTTGTGGAACGTAGAACGCAAATACAAAAACTATGTACAACACAAAAACAACAATTTTGCAACAATAACGATGTTGTCTTGTTTAATGTTAGAGTTTTATTGTGTCTTCAAAGTTTCGTTTAAGTGAATATTCAGAAATAGTAAATTATCCATTGTAACTGAATTAATGGAAGTTCTTATTTTGGAAGCTAATCATTAATTTGTAGCACACTATTTGTGTGACTTCTACTCTACTTTATTGGCAAAAAGAAAATTCAGTTATTTATATTTTTAATGCCCGATGGAATTATTTTAGTTAATGTTGTTAGTGATTTTCTACTTCAAGGGCCGAAATGTTGCGATCATAAAAATTTATTTAAATTCAGAGTCCATTAACAAATTGGGTTTAAGAATTTGTATGCAAGGAACAGTTGATATCCTTGTAGGATTTGAAACTTAAATTTACAGCTTTTTGCGCTGTTCTCGGTGGAAAATTGTTTGTTTATGCACAATTTATCTAAATGACATAAATTAACTTGTTGCTGTTGCTTCATTTCAATTTAATTGCTGAAATTGAATTTCTTGCTGCCAAATTTGACTTTTTGTTGTAATAAAAATTTTATGCGAGAACGACATTTGCGACAAAAACAATATGAGACAATATGAGACAAAACGAGACAAAATGAGACAAGCAAGACAATAAAAGAAAGCAACTTTGCCAAATTGAAAACATAACGAAAAACATAAAAAAAGCTCAAATAAAAATGAGAATCATTTTTTGCTGTTACTGGCGTCACTAATCTTATAAATTGTTAATTGTTTTGTTATTAGCTTAACGTCTTCCATTTATGAAAATGTCTACTTCAACTTCCAACTCTGCGCCCTCCGTCACACGGCCATCCATGCCTTTGGTTTCGTTTGTGTGATTCTGTGCCTGTTTTGTGTGTGCGTTTGTCTCCGAGAGTTACAATATGCGTTGGCGGCTAAAAAAGCGAACGCCATATTCTGCGCCATTTTATACGTTTTCATTTTGAGTTAATTTACTTTTTGTTTTTGTTTTTGTTATGATTTTGTTTGTCGTTTATTTGTTTTTCCTTTTTAGTTGTTGTGCATATAATTATTAATTTTTATTGTCAATAAGCTTTTGTGCGCATTTTAAGGCAAACAACTAACAGATGCGTATGTGCGTGCGTATGTGTATATGTTTGTGTCTAGTTGTATGTACATTTTTTACGTTTTATGCCTAAAAATTGAAATTTTTTAATAAATTTTCAAACAAGTTTTTTTGTTGTTTTCTTTTTTGGCAAAGTGATTGATTTCTTTTGTTTGCAAATTAAATGAAATTTTGAGAAAATTTTGTTTTGTTTCTATTTTTTTTTGCCGTAAATTGTATTCTTTGTTAGTAAAAGTGACACTATATTGACGTACAACTGCTATCCTTTGTTTTAGTTTCATTGAAAGTGTTAAGCTTAAATAGAACATTTCACCCTGACTTTTGTGTTCTTACTATTTTTGTATTTTTGTATTTGAGGAAATTTCGTAATAACAAAACTTACAGTTTTCTAAAATCAATAAATTTCCTAAATGGAATTGCATCAATGTCGGATTGCATATATTGTGCAACACTGAACACTGAACGCTGAACAGTGAACAGTGAACAATGAACAATGTCTTGGCAAGTATATTTTGTATTTCAATATAGGAAATGAATTTTGCTGAGTATCAGTTATGAAGCAAAGCAAGTAGCTTTTCGAAAGGCAAATACATAAGCTATATCGGTACTTTAGTAATGGAGTAAACCAATCAAGTGTGCCGAAATGTTCATTTCGTGCATAATTCACGAAGCTTTACTTTACTACACATTTCTCGATGAATCAAAAGTATTATCAATTTCGCCAAATTTTTACTCTAAAATACGATTTACTTTATAAGTCGTCACAGCAACTACCGTCACTGTTGAATCATTTGAATCATGATAATTAATAAGTACGATAAAGTATGTATTAAAGAATGGAATACCTTTTATGATTGATAAAAAAAAAATAAAAAACTAAAAAACCATTAAAAAATTAATGACATCCGGGCATGTATTTTCGTAAATACGAAAAGAGGAAAAAATCATTAAAAGTATTTTTAATCCATGTAAAAAATATTGTATTTTTCTTGTATCTTAAAGTCTCTGAACCCCACAACAACCCACGTACGCAAACGCCGCGTATGCGGGTTAATACCTTTATGACTTTTGGCTTTCCACAAAAAGTTTCAATTGAGTTCCAAAATCCAACGTTTATGAAACGAGGAAGATTTTCAATATTGTTTGTATCTCGTACTTTGTTTAGATGTTTTCATCCTAAGATTTTATTTTTTCTTAATTTTTTTTTTTTCTTTATTCAGTTCAGTTTTTTTTTTGTTCATATTCCTGTGCAAATTTGGGCTTTCATCTGCTGGCAACTTTATATAAGATGTTTTTTAACCTTTGGTAGAAAAAACTGCACATATTTAGAAGCCACATAATCAGCTTTTATGTTTTTGCTGCATTAAACTTTGGACTTAAAATGTTTTAAGAATATTTTTGCTTTAATGTGGTTTTTATTGTTTTGTGAAAAGTGCAAAATTTATCTATAGCAAAGTGAAGAAGTTACTAATAATTTTTTCGAAACTCCAGATTGAAAAAAAAAAAAATAGAAAATACTTAATATAATCTTTGCAGAATTCAATCTAGATGCATAAAAAATACACACCATTCTTGTGGTGCTTGAGATGCTCCGATATTTATTATAAATTATAAATATGCATAAAATTGTGCAATGACGCCGTTTCCATTATTGTTGGCACGAAACCTCATGGTGACAGCGAGGTGGTTATTGTTTTAGTAGATACATTCTACTTCATTTTACTTCATTTCACTTGACTCGTTCACTTGTTCAGATACTTTTTAACGACCAACGCGATGTAATCTACCTTTGTGTTTGGATAGAAACGGCAAGTAAGCAACAGGCCTACGCAATTCTTCATTATTCTTATGCATATTCACATGCCATAAAAGTCTAAAGCTATCGTGACATGCTTCACAATTTAAATATTTCCAGAGAATTGAGCAACAAACTTATGAGCAGATAATAACTCTTGCACTTCAACATTTTACATTTTTTTCCGTACGAACTAAAGAACGTTTTTTTGTTGCACTCAGTGAACTGCAACTGCAACTTCAACAGAAACTGCAGTAACAGCACAAAGTTATATACAAAGATATATTGCAGACCAAAAAATAAGACAATAAAATTCAAAAATAATTTGTCTTGCAGTTAGCACAGTTCATTTTAAAAGTAGAATTTCACACAAAATTGTTTGAGAAAAAACTATAAAAAATATATTGTTAAATAACCTAGCAGTTCCTTCTCATATGGAAGTATAGATTTAAGTTTCTTGTGCTAGAAATTCAATTTAGATTTTTTCTTTGTTTAGACATAATTTTGAAGAAATTTTAATATCTTGTGTTATTAATACAATAAAATTTACTACTTCAAATAGTAAAGTACTTTCTTTAAGGTTAAGCATATGCAATATACTCGTATATACACTTGCTGTAGCAGTAAATGGTTCATATCAAGTACAACATTTAATAAGAAAATTGTTTTAAAATAAGAGCTCTTGTTAATAACCTAATAAGTGCGATTCGTTTTCCTAATTACTTAGAGTAAGGAGAAAAAGCTAACAATTACAAATAATATAGTAATAGATTATGTTCAGTCACCCGTAAAGAACGACGGACCTAAATACATTATTAGTAAGTTTATCTAATTCTGTTAGGTTCTTAGAGTTTTTCACTGATTGTTTTTAATGTTGAAATCTATTTTCTTATTACTATTTTTATTAAGTCATCCAGATTTTTAAAAATAAGAATATAACATCGAACAATTGTTTGAAAAATGTGACAAAAAAGAATTCAAATATTTTGAAGAAATCTTGATTCAAGACTTAATAAAAGCCTAACATCAAATATTGCTTGAAATTATTTAGTTATTTAAGTTACTTGAAAATACAACTATGTTAAATGTTTTATTTATAATATTTTCTTAATACCGAAGAAATAAATTATTCCCATTTTTAAAGAAATTTACTATAAATTACACAAAGGCTGTGTAGTTAACATTCTTAGGATCTAGGATATAGAGGATATAGAAAAACGCTAAGACCGAAGTAGAACTTGCAGTTG